CTATATTTAAACGTTTACGTATATATTGCTGATTCTTACTCTTGAGAATCTTCTGCAACTTTGGAGAATAGGCGGAATTTCACAATACATATCTAACACTACAAGCTATGAATGTTTTTAAATATAAACTCAATTCAAACAAACGTTTACATTAAAATAAATATATAATAACAAATTCGTTACAACACTGTATTTCGTTAATTTTTTTTTCTGCCCCGTTGTTGTTCATGTCAGAGGTTCTAGTTTCTCTGCTTGTTGCAACTATCTATATGTCTCATTATACTGTATATGTTTATGAATATTTAAATGTCTCTTTTTTTTCTTGATTCAAACAACTTTCGTTTGTTTACTGACAGAACTTTAAAGTCTTTCATGCAGGAGGCTCACTCCTTTTTCCAAGTAATTAAATTATCTTAGAACTGGAGTGACTTTTTTTAACCACTCCGAATTTCATCTTATGATAAAATTATATAGAACCTATTTGTTATTTAACGGTATATTAGACGCAATATCTTGTTTCACTTATCTATATATAATGCTTAATCTTCTTATAGAATGAGCATATACACCTTTCTTTGGAGTTTCAACGACGCCTCGAGTAATATTTTTAAAACCACATATAATGCAGAGAGTAATTATCTGAGCTTGAAATAGATAATTCATAAGTTGGTCTACAGTCTTTTGGTACAAGACTGCTTATTTTTGAAATGAGCCGTTTGTATAATTTAGAAATTCATTATTTAGAAACTAAAATGGTGGGCTCCCAATTCAGAGCGATGTTAATGCTCTTATCGATAAAACTCCACGTCAACACAAGACGTTAAACGGCTTAGAACTTATAACAAACACGCAAAGAACCTTTTTCAAACAAATCAGTTTGTAATATGAACCTCTTCTACTTGAAAGTAGTGTAAAGTTTAAATTCAGCCGTGCTATGCAAGAAGAAACTGTCTTTCTGGTTTTTATTCAGAAATAACATGCGTGTCAAATCTCCTTTCGTATAACCAATATTTTATTATAGAAAAAAACGTCATTTTACTTCTGTCCATTGGCAGTAAAAACGTTTCGGTGAATATCAATCACTGTTATTTTATTCTGCTTCTCTTTTTTAACAGTTTCAATCACTTCATAATGATCAAAAAAGAAAATTTTCGCAGATAATAGTATCGTGCTAAGAAGAACACTGATATATATTGAAGTTTTGTGGTGCCGTGATATAGAAAATTGCGGATATATATATATAGAACATTTGCGTGTTTTATCTCTACGGTAATTTTCTATCACAGTAGGTTCACGTGAATTGTTCGGATGAAAGGTCAAGATTTCTGGGTACAAGTATACTGGTATCAAAACTAAGTACAGTTACGTCATTTCCATTCCTTAGTATACATGGTAACTAGTATTATTATATCTTTACTCATTGATTTATTCATATATATATATATATATAGCCTTCGGGGGCATACTAAAAATCGGGAATTAATAGCTGGAGCGGGCAGAGCACAGATAGCCCATTATATGGTTTTGAGCTAAAAACTGAAAAAAAAAACATTATCGTATAGTCTAACTGTACACGTAACTTTAATTAAAATTGAGTACACTTATTTTTTAGCTTATGTATTTACTCACTACTTCTAAAAAAATTATAAAACAAATAAAAATATTAAGTAGATAAAATCAATCTCCTTACACACACATAGAGCAATAAAATTAAATATTTATGATAAATAATACATGAATATTTGAATCTGATGTATTTTAGACTCTTCGGTAACAAGCTACACTTTTGTATTAGTTATTCTTATTATATTAAAATAAATTATCCAACCTCTGGTGTGAATTTTGATATTATTCATTTAATAAAAGTATAGAAAACGGTTGGAAATTAACACATTTTTTGTTTCCTCAAACTGTTAAATATTGCAATAACGAATACACTTCAGTGACATAAGTGACTGGCCCTCAGTCAAGCTCCCTAACCACCTGGCCATGATGTTTCAGAATGCTCTTCCCAAATAAAAGGCGGCCCGGCATGGCCAGGTGGTTAGGGCGCTCGACTCGCAATCTACGGGTCGCGGGTTCGAATCACCGTCCCACCAAACATGCTCGCCCTTTCAGCCGGGGAGACGCTATAATGTGACGGTTGGCGGTGGGTGGGGATGACTAACTGCCTTTCCTCTAGTCTTATACTGCTAAATTAGGGACGGCTAGCGCAGATAGCCCTAGTGTAGCTTTGCGCGAAATTCATAACAAACAGACATAAATGATACTTATCCTTCACATTTATTTAACAAAAAGACCTAAGTTGTTGCATAAGAAGTGAAATACAAATCCAGAGTGGTAGCTCCATATCTAACCTGCTTCAGTTTTTAAAAAAAAACAGATTGCTAGATTGTATGATAGCCCAGGTTTCCGTGTTCTTGAAGTTATCGGGCAGGAAATAAACCTATGACAAGTGCGCGGAGTTACAATACTCTGACATTGCTGCTTGGGGATCGCAAAACTTGAAAATATTGAAGCCGTGCTGTGTTCAAACCGTATGCTGTATATTCGTATGTTACTAATCCGTAGATGGGATGCGTGGGGGAAGAAAGAAAACAGGGGCTCAACCGTTCATTGAATTTTAATAATATCAATGATAAAAGTTGAAATGTGTGTATTATGCACAAAGACATGTATAGTTTAGAATCACCCATGAGGTGTGAAACAACAACGATCTACATAGTTAACGTAATTTAAGAATAATAATTGAAAACACCCGTTTTATAACTAACCTTGTTATGGCCTCTTGGCCCTTAAAATTAATATATTATGTACACTTTACCATTATAAGAGAACTAATGGTATTTCTTTGGTTTGCTGACCCAAGCTATACTGATGAACCTTGAGTAGGCGAAACTGCAATCCACAACAGAGGGTAAGGCCAATCAAGGAATGCATTAGGTCTCTACGTCACAGATTCTTTCTTCAATTTCATCTCTGGTAAAAATAGTACAGAAATATTTAACATATATTTATATATACAAACATAGTTATATTGAGTAAGTTTGACTTTTTACAGACTTGCTTTGAAAGAGCTTAATGTTTAGCCTGTGTAGCTTTTTGATGATGTTATTGCAATTTCTTTCAATGATATGGCTTTCAACTGAAGTTTTGTAAAAGTAGTTGGAACTGAATCTGATATTCCAGGAGTAAGGTTTCATTATAAAATTCAGTATTCTCATATAATATTGATTTTCTTGCAAGTATGTGATATGAAGTTTTAACAGCAGGAATGAGCAGGAAATTTGTGAAGTAACTGTAGTTGACCTGACAATTTAAATGAGTTCTATAGTGTATTGAACAAAGAGAGGGGTCAAGTTTTTAATAAAACTTGTGAAGACAGAATCACATTCGATAATCTACTAGGTGATATTTAGACACACACATCTTTCATTTTCTCATGATTTATCTCTGCAGAATTAAAACGTAATGAATGATCTAAAAACAAGGTCTTTACTCTAAGATCTTCTCACACAACTGAACCAAGAAAGTGCACTTGAATTCAACAGATAAACTGAGATTATTTGTCCATTTGACAACATAACCTCATAGCCATTTCTCTCTTACAGCATTTGCTGGCTTTAACATACAGACATCATTCATTTAGCCAGCAAAGGATATTACAGTCTAATACCATTTCAAGATGGATGTGCTAGGTTGCTGCAATATATCATCGATAATAATATATATTAACTCCTACAGAGGAAAAAGAAACAAAACAACAAAAACAAGGCCAACTTCAATAGTTTTCGGAGCCATGTGTTTATGTCAAAACTGCATGGAAACTAGAGGAAAGAAAAATTTCTAAATTCCTATATTACTAAAAGCAGACAGAAAACTCCTGATATGACTGCATATCACAATAATAGTGGCTGATCTTTCAGTTAAGGAACATAAACAATGGTTGGAATGTTAAAGCTTTCCAACAAACTTCTAAGTAGTAGTGATATGGACGTATTAGTACTATTATGAAAATTTAGCATTACATCAGGCATCAGTAGCACAGTTTACCCAAATTTACAAGTTTTATCCTTTTGTGATGTGCAGGCATATTATACGTATTTTGCATACTTTTATTTATATAGAAGTTTTTAATTTTGTTTAATTAGTTTCTATGCAGTTTTGGCATAACTATGTGGTCCAGAAAACTGTTGAATTTAGCTTGTTCTAGTTACCTTTGTGTCTTTGCTTTCTACATCAAAGAATACTGCATGGTCCATAAAACTGGCGCTTGACTCGTAATCTGAGGGTCCCCGTCTCACCAAACATGCTCTCTCTTTCAGCCGTGGGTGCGTTCTAATGTGACGGTCAATCGCACTATTCGTTGGTAAAAGAGTAGCCCAAGAGTTGTCGGTGGGTGGTGATAACTAGCTGCCTTCCCTCTAGTCTTTCACTGCTAAATTTGGGACGGCTTGGGCAGATAGCCCTCGTGTAGCTTTGCGCGAAATTCAAAGAACAAGCAAACAACCCATAAAACTGTTAAAATTGTATTTGAATACTGTACGGTGTCACCCACAGGATGAACTAGCTGAGGCAGGTAAGCTCTAACAGAGAATTGTTGGGTCTTCGCTGCAGAGGTCAGCCCTGGATATTGCTGTTTCACTTCCAGAGATCGCGAGAGGTCATCAAGACATACTCGTTGTTATTGGCTATTTCTCAAAGATTTAAAGTTTTTGTGGGTACTTATTTTTATTTTATACTGTGTATTTTAATGTGTGCATTTTACATGTTTAACTACTCACTGCCTGTTCGTACACTCGAATGTGTGTGAGCGAAAAGAGGTTAGTCTTTTTTATATATTTTGGTATCTTTGTCTATTACAAATGTATTGTAGTGTATCATTTAAACAATTAATTCATTATTATACATGTTGTTTTTGATTCTGCTAACGTATTAATAATGGGTTAGTATTATTATATATATATGTGTGTGTTTACTGTACTTTTCACTGTGTATTCCATTGTATATCGTAACTGACTGGATTTTTCTATATTTTGATGTACTTTGCCTTTAAAATTAAAATTAAAGAAAAGGGTTCTTATTTTAGCAATGAAGTTTATTTTCCCATTATATCATTTATTTCCATTTCATTTCTGTGTATTCTGTCAGACTAGCCTCTTCTAAAGGGATGGGGAATCTGTGCTAAAGGGTTTTCTTTCTGTTATCTTGTCTTATTTTTATTATTACTTGATGATTTGCGTAGATTGTTAGGCAACCCACTTCTAAGGAGGGTAGGATATCACTGGTTTTATTTCTTTATCTTTTTTAAAAGTTTGCATAAATGTGTGTACTTGGAAATAGCTTTTCTACATTAAAGTTTTAGGTTAAAATTAATAAACAATATTATTTATTCCATTTTTTTAATAATAATAATTATTATTATTATCTTATTTTATTTGTATTAACTATGCTGTCATTTACAAGAACTAGCGAACCAGCAAGATAGTCTTCTTGTTCCTGGAGCAGGTCATATAACCACAGTGTCGAAGAGAACGACTACATTAATAATTCCAAGTACCTGTAAGTGAAAGCAAAAGAGGATATGTTATAATATGTCAACCACGCTGCGTCTGCCATCAGGGCAGCTTGGATATAACAGACTTAATATCAGATAAAATCTCCTTAAATTCATTCAAATTGCTAAAATATTGAAATTACGGTATTAAAAAATGAAATAAGTTTTCATTTTTTCCAGGTCAATTGAGTGTTGAAAAAAAACACTAGACTTTAACATATAAGCACTATTGTTAATACTATGAGTACAAACTTGATTATTTTAACATATCAAATTCATTTTTCAAAATTAACTACAAGAAATCAATAAACAACAATGCATATGAAATCTACATACTACTAAAACTCTGAGATTGTTTGTTTGTTTGCTTGTCTGTAATTAAATACAACAAAAACGGCACACAATAGCGTCATATTTGCAAGAATACGGTACCCCCTGAAATGAGAATAGAAACAGAATAAAACAAGTTTCATTAAAATTGGGCTACGGGTTACCGAGTTAGCGCCGTTTTTCGGGTCACTTCTATGAAAATTTCTAGCATGAGTAAATTTACATCACACTACCGTTCGCACTCTTCACGAAACGTTTTCGTTCAAATCTATTTCCCTGTCAATGTTCCCATCTTCATTAAAAGGTGTAAGATGACAAAAACAAGATCTTGAAGAATTTCTCAATAATGTGCCTTGGTTATGGTAGGTAAGGAAATGATAAAATTTTCTCAGTCAAAAAATCATTCGCTGTGAGACAGTGAGAAAGGTTTTTCATTTGGTGAATTTCGTAGTGTATCAGTTATCAGGTTTTGTTGTTTCTTGCAGTAATCTGAGCAAGTAAATATGAAATGTTTTTCTGAAATAGCTTTTTTGGTTTTTGATAGCAATTATGTTCTAATAAACCATGAATAACATTACTATTATCTGTTATTTCTTATTTTCAGTCGTTTGGAATCAACTGTGAATAAGATTTGTTCATCACAATACCTAAAACTCTGACTTCACTTTTTGAAAAATGAAATGGTCTTTCCTTTTACTCCCGATCAACAATCAAATATCTTTTCTTGAATTATGAATAACAGGAATGTTTTGAAATATTTAATTAAATTATCTCAAAATAAACCTTCATTTCGGTGCAATATTGAAATTAGCTTGAATTCCTTATAACCTCTGAATAGTGGGTGACCCAAAGGTTCACGGGTGGTCTAGTATATTTTGATACCTAAGTTGTCAGAAAAATTAGCAATATAAATGTAGACATAGTAAATGTAACGTTAAACCTAACTTTACTATGTTGGGTTAAACATGTTGCAATGTGTCCTTTCGTTGAACAGATTCTTATAAATTATTTCGTGAAAATTATGCAAAGTCTAATCCACATAGAGACAACAAATTATTTTAATTCTTCCTTAACGTTTGCTACAGGCTACTATCACTTGTTTTAATTTGTAAGCCCTTGTTTACAAGCAATATTTTCACTTTCAACAGAAATTTACTCACTAATGGAACAGTGACTAATGTACATATCTACTTACTTGTACAATTTGATGGCTAATCTGAATATACGTGATAACACTGATCTGTATACTTCACTAACTTGTCAATTACTGAACGAACTGAAAACTGACTTAATGCTTTCCGATTCTCGTATTTACAATGTACCCTTGTTTCTAGATATTTCAAAAAGTCACTCGATCATTAAAATTCACGAACATTCTGGATATTCTAGAACTACTTTGTAAACTTTCTCAAACAAGCGTCATTAATGTATTAGCAGCTTCGTCTGGCAAACAACTAAAATAAAACATTGTAAATATAGCTTAAAACAATGTAGTATTTAAATTGAAGATAAACAGTGAACATTGGTCTAATCGTGTGATTCTACCCTAATTAAATTATGATTTCATTCCTCAAAGTGTAAAATAAATCAAGTGGTTTTTATTATATTTCAAAAGAAAAACAAACACATTACCACTTAATATAAATCACATTTAAAGGATGAAAATATATTATACTAAAATATACCTCACACTACAGTAATAATAATTAAAACACCTCAGAAATTTGAAACACGCTGGCACATTCTACTGGCTTAGTGCTAAGTCTGAGGACGTATACTGCTAAAAACCAGGTTCTGATACCAGTGATGAACAGAGGACAGATAATTTTGTGCTTAATAACAAACCGACAAATCAACAAACAAACGATCTTCCGTAGTCGTTTTATAGCAGAATGAGATATGAACTCATGATTGATATTTCTGTAATACTTTTGTTTCCCTCGTTTAGAAATATTTTAATTGCCTAGGGAGAAGATATTTAAATATATTTCCTTAAACACGTGAAATGTTTAAACAGACACCTATGAAGAAGAAAGGGAATCTTGAACAGATATCCCTGTTCATCAGGTTTTATTTCAAATTTCTCCTAAGCAATAAACGTTTTGGTTAAAAACAATCAAATCATATGAAACTAACATCAAAGTGCAATTTACATTTCTAGCTGGCAAAAAACAGGTCACTTTGTGTCCAAAAAGTATACAGACAATTATTCTTCTGGAGATGTGTCTGCAAAAGAACGTACAGATTGCAAAAGCTGTTTTATTGAAGAGACAGCTTTTTACTCGTTTCTGGGAAGATTTAAAATCTCCATCTCATGTTTTTTGAATACGTGTCGTTCTTTTTATTTTTCTAAGCTAAAAATCCTCAACAGAAAAAATATTATTAACAGACGAAATGATAGAAATGCTGTTAATAGAAATTTAAATTAAACCGTAATCTTAACCAATACAAAGGTGTTAATTAACATCTATATTTAATCACACTGGGCCAGCCACCTGGGTGTAAAACCTTTTAGCTTAAAAATATCAAACAACAGAATATAGTATAGAATAACAGCTCTATTGTAGAATACAATAAAATTAGATAACAATGAAGTTAGAAAAAAGGGATAAACATTGCTACATATACGTAGTATTTTCAAGTTATCTATCTTTGTTTAGTGTATTTCCATATTTCCAAGTACTTTCATTCTGTGTTGTATCTGAAATGCTGCTTGATTGTGTGTTCCCCGTCTACTTCTGCAAGTATAAAAAGTTATTCTTGTCAGCCAAAAGTACGTCGTTGTAGCTATATTTTCTAAGTTTATTAAATGTTCTTCTGTTGCTTATAATGTAAGTTGCCTGTCTAAAATTTACTCAATGTTAGCCAGTGGAAAAAAACAACAACACAGTTACACGTATTTAGGGGGACTTCAAAGTAATTTTATTTTAAGAGAGCAGTGACTAATTCAACTCACAGGAAAGGATTGTATGCCCATCCCCCTATAAAGGTCACAGACAATTCTGGCTCTTGTGAAATTCTGGAAGGAGTCCTTTCTAAATTTAACAAAAACTGGCACATGAAAAGCTTCTGGAAATGGCATAATCTGGTGAATGTAAATACGTTAAAATATCACTGATTTCTGAATAAACGGGAAAGGTGTATAATGGCAAGTAGTTGACTACTTTAAACTTATATGTATGTAATTTAGCAATATATGCATGCCAGGTATAATGGGAGGGTCGAGCAGGTGCGTGGAATAGCACGTGATGCTATCCATTGAGTTGTAAACTGGCGCTAAATTATTAATGATAAAATGCGAATACAGCTGATCAAATGATTCAAGAAGCAAAATAGATAGCTAAATGTTTCACAGAACAAGAACAAAGTGATTATGAAATATCTGAGTAAATAGTTTCCTCAGTTCTGATGAATCGTCTAAGTACAGGAATTAATATGCTATATTACTGAGTTTACTTCCTTTGTATGTCACGTTTCTAATTTAGGACAGCTTTGGATTGTAAGGATGGTTAATTCATAAAACTGGGTAAAGTATAAGTCCTCGGACCAATAACGCTATGACGTAACTGGTAACCAGTGAAGAAACCTAGCAAATATGAATAATAATAATTATATTTTATTTCCTCTATTAAAGTCTAAGAGATTTTCGATTTCTGTTTTCTAAGACTTTTACTAGATTGCATGAAATGTCTCGGATCTTAAATATCGCCATGAATATCTTAACGACAAATTAGGCTGTAAAGTATTTCTCTCTCATTATTTTGTACACGTTTTTATTTTCGACTTACATCCAGATTAAGGTTATATGACTACTTGAGCCGGTCTGTTGTGCAACGTTTATGAAGAAACTAAATAGAAAATATCGGCATTTAAGAGCAAATAATAGATCTCAAAAATAACGAATATATACGTTTTAGTTGTGAAAACTGACGATTTCCATTTTAGATAGAACAGGGTGACGTTAGGGTTAAGACAGACTCGATACCGCTGATGTTTAAAAAGGTATTTTCTCTTTCCCTTCCGTGAAAAGTAGAGTCTGTTGGACTTGTATTTATTTTGTGTATCATGCAGATTAAACTTCTACCTTGTTTCATTTATTGTTAAGAAATCGCCAAGACTCAGGTCGATAACACTAGAGACAACACAGTATATTTCACAGGAACACAATATACAACATTCCTTACCAAATATATATATATATATATCTTACAGGATGCATATCACTAGCATATATATGTTAGAAGAAAGTTGAGTCTTTTGTGCAAATGCCCCCAGTGGTATAACGGGAGGTCTGCGGACTTACAACGCTAGAAACTGGGTTTCGATACCAGTGTTGGCCAGAGCACAGATAGCCCATTGTGTAGCTTTGTGCTTAATTACAAACAAACTTATGCAAACACACCTCTTACTGAAAATTAGTCTCTACACCAAACGTTAACAAGCATTACTAAACTCCAAGCAGTTGTATATCCTAACCTAATGGTATAAACCTGATTAAATTTCAGTAAAATGCATATAAGGAAAATACCTCCACACGAATAGAGTATATATCTCTTAAATATATTTTAATCATGCCTTGCCTCTTCAGCACACATCACTTAACACAAACATATAGCTCACAGGAAACAGATCTCTAGAGTCTATAATACAAATATCTAATAACTCATTCTATAGAGAAACTGTTTTTTAGTCATATATCTTTAACCTGTATCTCACTGGAAACTATTGTCCACATCATTAATAAAGATTCTAATTGAAATTTATTTTTATAACATAAACCATCGGGCTTTATGTTACCAGAAGCAATTTCCACAGCAAACATTACTAACGTCCAACTGGAATGACGTATCTAGAGTTTATAGAACACACACTCATTATACCAGGGATCTAGTCTTTATAGTAAATAGCACATGTCACTAGCATTTGTTTACTAGAAGTTATTCTTCAGCACATATCCCAAACATTTATTTACTGGAAGCTAGACTCTTCAGTACATATCACTAACATTTGTTTACTGGAAGCTAGACTCTTCAGTACATGTCACTAACATTTGTTTACTGGAAGCTAGACTATTCAGTACATATCACTAATATTTGTTTACTGGAAGCTAGACTCTTCAGCTCATATCCCTAACATTTGTTTACTAGAATCTAGACTCTTCAACACATATCACTAACATTTGTTTACTAGAATCTAGACTCTTCAGCATATATTCCTAACATTTATCTCACTGAAAGCTAGGCTCTTCAAAACATATCCCTAACATTTGTTTACTAGAATCTAGACTCTTCAGCACATATCACTAACATTTGTTTACTAGAATCTAGACTCTTCAGCACACATTCCTAACATTTATCTCACTGAAAGCTAGGCTCTTCAAAACATATCCCTAACATTTGTTTACTAGAATCTAGACTCTTCAGCACATATCACTAACATTTGTTTACTAGAATCTAGACTCTTCAGCACACATTCCTAACATTTATCTCACTGAAAGCTAGGCTCTTCAAAACATATCCCTAACATTTGTTTACTAGAATCTAGACTCTTCAGCACAT